CTTTTATACTGGTTGATATTTTACAGAATTTATGAATCTTATTGTTTTTCCTTTTCCTGCAATAAACTTTTCCTTTTTGTTTATTTTTTGGGCATAGTTTTATATTTTTCATTTCTTGTTGTAGGGGTACATTTTGAAATAAAAATTTAAAATGTTGGTAAAATATAAGCTTTTACTGTTGCTATTCTCCCTAATAATGATAAATTTGCCTTTACTTAATTTCCTTTTGTTCTGCTATGGGAATGTTTATACATAACAATTTAGATTTTTGATAATTGATTTTTAATCCTGTGTATTGATTAAATCTTTCCAATATTTGTCTATGATTCTTCTGTTTTTCAATGAATTTTCCAAAAATGGAAGTATATGATCGGTATATACTGTCGTGCCCCGCTGGATGATTACCCCGCTCTACGAAGAATCCGCTTTTGCGATCGCAAAACAATGGTTTAAATTGGGTTTTTTCGTTTCACAATGATCGGTTCCCTGCTTCGGGAACCGATTCTTTCTTTACGACGATCCGCAAACAGCTGATTGTTGGGTTTCAAAATGGCCACCAGCTGAAGAAAATGACCCCCCCGCTGTTTTTAGGAATGATTTTTCGCTTAACAGGCACCAGAAAGTGGCTGCCATATGGAGGACGAGCAGGTATTCAGCCCATTGGAATGCATCAAACGGTTTTCAATGCGTTTCACTGGGTTTTTGTATTTCGTTTGACGACATTTTCGGTCTACAGCGATTTCGCTGGAACGAATTAACACCGTCAAGCGAGGCACCACTGTATAGTTAATTTTATGCTGTCTGTCATGCCAGTAATGGTATCATTTTCTCTAATTTTTACAGCCAGGGTTCAATAACCAGAGCAAATAACAGTGAAGAAAAAGGGTCTCTTTGTCTTATTCTTTTTATGTAAGTCAAATCTATCTGATTCTGCTCTGTTTAGCATCACTGTGGCCTTCATGTTCTTCATACAAATTTCTTACCACCTTTATAAATTTTCCCTCTATATTCATCCTCTCTAATAAATTGAATAAATACAGTGGTGCCTCGCATTACAAAGTTAATTCGTTCCAGGGAAATCACTGTAGAACGAAAACGTCGTAATGCAAAAATAAAAAGCCAATTGAAACGCATTGAAACCCCTTCAATGTGTTTCAATGGGCTGAAAACTCACAGTCCAGCGAACATCCTCCATAGGGTGGCCATTTTCAGTGGCTGTCTTGCGAGGAATCCATCCCAGAAAACAGCGGGGAGCCATTTTATTTTCCTGGCGGCCATGTTGAAACTGCTGATCAGCTGTAGGAAAATTGTCATTTTGCGAAGAATCGGTACCCGAATCAGGGAACCGATCATCGCAAAGCGAAAAAGCCCTATTCAGACCATCGTCGTAATGCGGTTTCGTTGTAATGCGGGGCAATCGTAAAGCGGGGCATGACTGTACCACCATTCAATGCAATCAAAGGCTTTAAGAGCACCTAATGAAAGTATTGCCACTTTCCTTTTTTTTGTTCACTTGCTATATTTATGATGTTCAAAACCCTATGAATAGCATCTGACATTTGCCTACCTGGCATGAAACAAAACAGTGTGGATATAATTTGTGATAAAACTATTCAGTCTTTGTGCTAAAACAGAGGGGGGATTTATTTTAGTTTTGTAATATTATTCTATAAGCAGAGGGAAGCGTGGAATCTTTTTCGGGTTTTGCAATAGCTATTATTCTTGCTTCTTTCCAGGATTCTGGTACTTTTTCACTAATCAATATTAAATTACAGTGGTGCCCTGCATAGCGACGTTAATCCATTCCGGATTAATCGTCGCTATGAGGAAACATCGCTAAACGGAACGGAAAAAGCCATAGGAGCCCAAACTCACCGTTTAGCGAAGTTCCTCCATAGTGCCGCCATTTTCGCCCCCTCGGTAAGCGAGGGCAGGGTGTGCAAATGATTGTGGTGGCCATTTTGGGCACTCGGCGGCCATTTTGGGACCGCCGATCAGCTGTTTAAAAAAACATCACAATGCGAAGATTGGTAAGTGAAACGCTTACTGATCATCGCAATGCGATGTTTTGCCCATTAGCGATCTGAAAAAATAGATCGCTATGTGGATTCGTCGTTAACCGGTGCACTCGTTAAGTGAGGCACCACTGTATATCATTTCAAAAGCTGTATAGAAATGTCTTCTACCATGTTTTATAACTGTGAAGCTGTTACATCCTGGTGTATTCCCTTTTAAAATTATTTGAATAGCTGATTTTATTTCAAGTGTTATTGTTGAGCTGATTTTTATGCTCCTCATAAATTAGGTTAATTCATTCATTAGGCATCCTTGAGTCTCGAAAGACTATGGTAATGTGCTCTGCATGGAGGACTTGGAACAGCATCTACTGTGGCTGAGGAGGCCAATTTGAGAGTGACAATCCCTTCCACACTGAAGACAAATACAATCTGTCCCCTGTCCAGCTCCCTGATTTTGCTGCTTTTGCGACTTCCTCTTCGCTTTGGCCTGCTGGACAAGGGTCTCTTCTAATTGGAAGAGGCCGTGATGCAGCACCTGCCTCCAGGCTGAATGCTCAGATGTCAGGGTTTCCCATCTGTTGAGGTCCATTTTTAAGGCCTTCAGATCCTGCTCGCAGATGTCCTGTGGTATCCCTCTGGGGTGATTTCCCTGCACTAATTCTCCACCGTAACCAAATCAAAGGCCTTTGTAAGATCTATGAAGGCCACAAAGAGTGGCTGTCATTGTTCCCTGCATTCCTCCTGCAACTCTCTGAGGGAAAATACCATGTCAATGGTGTATCTATAAGCTCGAAATCCACACTGATTCTGGATAGACTCTGTGTGCAGGCACCTGGAGCCTCTTCCTCACAACACAAGCAAGGAAATTCTCTCTCTTCCCCCCCCCCGGGGAAAGGGAAATAACTCAGGATAACAGGGACTATATCATGCTATACATTATCACATATCTGTACTTAAAACATATCATTACATTAAAGACTTTTGTGTCTTTTAGTTGCCTATATAATTCCAACTAGATTTATCTGACAATTTTCCATTAAAATTATCACATTTGGCTTTCAGGTTATAGAGCGGATCCAGTTATATATAAAGTAAAGGTTCCCCTTGACATTTAGTCCAGTCATGTCCAACTCTAGGGCACGGTGCTTATCCCCTTCTCCAAGCTGTAGAGCCAATATTTGTCCGTAGACAGTTTCCATGGTCACATAGCCAGCACAACTAGACACGGAATGCCGTTACCTCCCCACCATGGTGGTACCTATTTATCTACTTGCATTTAGATGCTTTCAAACTGCTAGGTTGGCGAGGAGCTGGGACAAACGATGGGAGCTCACTCTGTGGTGTGGATTCGATCTTACGACTGCCGGTCTTCTGACCTTGCAATATAGGGGCCCATTTTTCAGTTGCTTCTTGGATTAAATTGTCTTTCAAAGATTCTGTTAATATGTCCATGTCTGCCACTTCCATAATCTTTTCCACTAGTTCTTCACAATTTGGTATTTTGGTCTTCTTCCATTTCCATGCATATAGTATTCTGGCTGCAGTTAAAAAAGCTCTCTCTCCTATCTAAACATTTAATAAGAATAATTCTAGCATATTATGTAGCAGAATTTTCTGTAAACATTAATTTATTAGTATCTAATAATTTTTGCTTCACTATTTTTGCCCTATATTTTGCACTCATTTGGTTATACAATCTTTTACCACTTCTTCTTCCATTTTAATTTCTAATAAAAATTCATATATTTTTAAATCAAGTTCTCATTTGTTTCTAATACTATTTTATCCAAGGGCATTTGCTCTTCATGAAAACCCTCCTTTTTATCTATATATATCTTGTTCTTCTAACTCGTCTTTTGTTTTTAATTCACAATTTCCTTTTAGCAATTCTTTATATCTGAGCAGTCTGTTTACGACCATAAGGATGGGCTGTGTAAAAGCTTCGAATTTCCCGCCCTTTCTCCCTGCCTTTTTGGATTTGGAGCTTTCAAAGGGCTTCCTCTGATGTCAGGGGAAAGCCCTTTGAGAGCTCCAAAGCCACTGATTGCGGCAGCGGGGACCCCTAGGGATGTCTCCCAGGGCTTGCCCACCACCATGGGAGACCTCCTTGGGGGTCCCCGCTACCACAATCAATGCCTTCTGAGGTTTCAAAGGGCTTTCCCTCAACATTGGAGGAAGCCCTTTGAAAGCTCCGAAGCCAAACAGGCAGAGAGAAAGGATGAGAAATTGGAATTTCCAGTCCTTTCTCCCTGCCTTTTTGCCTTTGGAGCTCTCAAATGGCTTCTTCTGATGTTGAGGGGGAAAGCCCTTTGAGAGCTCCAAAGGCACTGATCATTGCAGTGGGGACCCCCAGGAAGGTCACCCATGGTGGCGGAGAAGCCCTGGGAGACTTCCCTGGGGGTCCCTGCCACCGCGATCTGCACCTTCAGAGGTTTCAAAGGGCTTCCTCCAATGTCAGGCATTCGAATTTCCCACTCTTTTGCCCTACCTTTTTGGCTTCGGAGGTCTCAAACAGCTTTCCCCCCAACATCAGAAGAAGCCCTTTGAGAGCTCTGAAGGTGCCGATTGCTCCATTGGCATCAACCTGCAAACAGAGCCTCGTTCGTAGGTCCATGCTCCATTCGCAAGTCGATTCCAATTCTGTCCAACAGAGCACTTCATAAGTTGAAATGTTCATAACTAGGGCCGTTTGTAAGTTGAGGGTTGACTGTATTCTGTTTGGCAGAGAATGGCTACCAAACCTGGCTTTCTAGACAAAATGTTACTAAAATCACCTCTTTCTCAACAGTGCTAAGTGAAACCTTCAAAAACTCTCATGTTTACAACCAAAATTGTTGTGTGTGAAGTGGCCTATTCAATGGCCACCTCCATTATTCTATTCCAAAACTTTTTTGCCATTTACCCACAAACATAGATTAGATACATGTTTTCTTTATACAGAGTGATTTCTATTCCTGCTAAGCGAGAAAAACATTTACTTACTGAAACATTTTGGTTCTGGATCCCAGCCAGTCTTGGTGCACTTAATTTTTTGCCAGTTTTCCTTATTTGGTGGCAGAAAACCAGAATTACAATGATAATCCATTGTATAGCCCAGCCTTTTGGGGAAGGAATGTAATGGTTCATTGTAATAAAAATATCCATTTGATAAACGGACATAGCCACAGTTCTTAGCTTTGGAAAAGAAGTAGAAAAAAGAAGTTAGAAGCCAAAACAAATGAGAATACTCCCCACATGCATACATATACACACAGAACTCCCATACATGCTTTACCATCCAAACATGCACACAAACATATATATGCATCCACACACACATTTGTCTGAACCATGGTTTTCCCTTCAAATCTAGAAGCAAGCCTTCTGCACATAGCTGGCTCATAAAGTATTCTCTAGCAAAGGTGACCGAGTGGGGGAGCTCATCCCCAAACTGGGTGACCATGAGTTGGCCCTGTCCTCCAGGAAGCAGGTTCTGCCAACACTGATTCTGATATTCCTTCAGGATGCAGGACTTCTCATGCTGACTGCTAAAGCATCTTCTGGCATGCAGGCCCTCTAGATGCTGGTTTTACAGTGACCTGGAGAAGCAGTTTCTCTAAATAATGTGTCCTAGACTGTTTTCAGCAACAGAGGATAAACTTAATGGCAAGGGTCAAATAATGAGTGGGTTCTACTTATTGGTAGCAGGCTATACATTGTGCACTCTGTCCTGCAAATTCACAAGGGTGTAGTTTGTAGTGTCAGAATACTGAAGAGTCCCCAAGCACTACATGAGCTGGTCAGAGTACCTTCCTTGAGAAATAAGAACCTCAGTAGGTAGGAAAAGCCCTCATAGCCTGGGAAAGAACTGCTGCTGGGATTCTCACAAGTACCTGCACGTGCTGGTTTGGTGCAGGCCCAGATAGTGCCTCCTCTTTTCCTCTTCAATTGCTGAGTATAGCATGGACCTACTCAGAGATCTCCCATGCTACCCTTTTTTGGTATGTTGACCTTAGTGCTATCAAGGCATGCTGCCACTCAGCACTGTCAACATGCATAGAGGGGGGCACCTTGCCCCACTCCCTCTGCCATTGGGTTATTCACAATTTTAGCACAAGTTCTCCAGAAGAGAGATTCCCGCTCAGGTGTCAGTGCCACATGTGAGCAAATGCTCTGGAAATGCTGAGTTCTTAATCATGTAGGGAACCTACACATGAGCAGGACCCTTCTCTTCTTCAGATGCATGGCTGAATCTATTAAATCCATAATGATGGGGGAAGAGCTATGGGCTCCCTCTGAATGTGTTCAAAATTCCTGGTTATAAATGTCTCAGGAGGGTTCCTGATTTCTAGCAATCTACTTTCCCTAGGCAAGGCACATCAAGGAAAGGTTTGACACATACGGCTGGCTGACACTGGCAATCACAGAAGGTAAGAATCTCATTAACAATAGATTTAGACCTCCAGGTGGATGAGAATGCCTCGCCACTTGGCTAGCTATCAAAAGAACATAACTTTTCATTGCCACAGATGACAAATGCCTTGGAAAAAGACATTCCACCAGGACTGGAGAAAAGCTCACTACTTGCTCTTACTTAGTTTCAAAGCATCTGGGTCTTAGACCCAGGGGGAAGGGGAAGGAACCTGGATGAAGCATCTAACCTTTAAAGAGGCATTTGAATCAAACAATCAAGGCCCAAGCCTTTGCAAGTAGCCCTACACTTACATAACTGCAAATTATTGCCATATAAATAAAGTCCTGCACTTGAAAACTGCACTTTAGGAGTGGGGAGATAACAGCTCTCTGCCTGACAGTGGATTGCCCAGCCTCTGTCAAGGAGAGATTCTGTGCATAGCCCCTGTCCACTCCTTCCATAACATCAAGGGATCTCCAGATTTCCTTCCGTCCCCATCATTTCAACTATGATGGCGGATATCATACAGGAAGTAAAGATATTCAAATGCATCAAAAAGAACAATGCTTACGTATACATGTTGCAGGAGGTTGCCAGCCTTGTTCTGTGCACCTGGAAGAACCGGCACTCTGAAACCCATCATCACATTTTATTTCAATTTGTTCTTCATATCTAAACTGAAGCCCCCTAGGTTGGAAGTTACCATTTTGCAAATGGGGTGGCAGGCATACAATTTCTGCAGAGGAATAGAAATAAGAAATGTGGAAAATCAGACACTGAGCAGCATATTTTCCCTCTTTGCCATCACTTTTACCATAGTTCCACTTGTAGAGCAACTAAGAAGTCACAACATTCTCTGTGTAAGATACCGAGATGGAAATGTGTGTGTGTAGAAAACATGCACATAGAGTTTTGTATCTTTTTAGTTGGCCAACCAAAAGTAATGTCACAACATGCCTTTTGACATTTGTCTCATGACTGCCATGGATTCCTCTGTATTTTATTTTTCTTTTACACATCATGTAGCCACATCAGTGATTTTACAATCTTTGGGACAAAGCAGATAAGACACAGGAATAAAAATGGGAAGGAAGAGGACTCTATTCACATGCTGTGCCATGAGATACATGGGAGGTATATGAGAGACTAGTTTGGATTGAATGCAACCACCATATTTAGAGTTGCTTTGTGACAGCCAAAGTAGCTGTGACAATGTCCAACCCCTAGCAGGAGGAGAAGGAGCAGAAGAGGAGGAAATGACACATTGTCATAGAACACATCATTTCATCATTATATTTGATTTAATACATCACTTAAATATAAAGTATGTATGAACAAATAAGCCATTTCAGAAGTGAAAAAGATTTGTTATAGAACATCCAGCTATTATTTCTTTTACAATGAGAAGCAAACAGCGCAGCATTTCAAAAAAACACAAAAAATAAAAAATAAAGCACACAGAAAGCCCCTTCGGAAGGCACTGGGGCTTTAAAAAAAAACAACCAAAAATAAACAGAGCAAGCCCCAAAGGCTGAAAAAAAAATTTAATCATTAAAACAACAACACAGTACAGAAACATAACCCCCCTCAGCCAAAACCCACCCTGCAAAACCCACCCAGATGTTTCTAAAAAGCAAAAAGCAGCACCTTACCAGGCAGACTGAAGCCTCCTCTGATGGCACTCCCCGGCAGATGGCGGCCAGTGTAGGGCAGCTGAGGTCCTTACTCAGGGAGGTCCTTACTCATGAGTAGACCCGCACCAGGGATGGGCAGGGAGCACACCAGCTTCCCACACCCGGTGGCAAACTGGAGCTGCCCCGCTTCTCCTTCCTCCTCCTGCGCCGTTGCCACACGCCCCATCCACGGAGGAGCCCCTCCAACCCGTGCACCCTAGCCCAGCCCAGGGCCTTCTGCAGCCCTTACTCATGAGTAGACCCATGCCAGGGATGGGCAGGGAGCACACTGACTTCCTGCGCCCAGCGGCGATCCGGAGCCGCCCCCACCTCTCCTTCCTCTTCCTGCCCTGCAGGAGTAAAAGAGTTCCCTGACCGCCTGCTCTAACCATTGGAGCAAAAGAGCTACAAAGAAGCAGCCTCTTTGTCACCAATGGTTTGAATTTCCCACCTTTTTCCCCTGCCTTTTTCTGTTCTTAAGTCAAAGCTCCGCTCGTAAGTCGAAGCAAAATTTTGTGAGTGGAGCTGTTCGTAAGTTGAAATGTTCATAAGTATAGGGGCATTTGTAAGTCGAGGCACTACTGTATAAGAGAAAAGGGGGATTCCTCTTCTTTGATCTTGCCTTCCAAGACCCTAAAACATTTTCATCCCTTTAACCCAACCTGATTAAGTAAAATTGCAATCCTAGGAACACTTGTTAAGGAGTAAGCTTCAGTGAACTCAAAAGGACTTCCTGCTGACTAAATCTGCATATGATTTAACTGCAACATCACCAATTCTGGAAATGAGAAACATACAAACCTATACATTCGAGTCGTCCATTCCACCCATTCCTAGTGCATGTTGCTTCTTTCCTATCAGCATGTCTGTATCCACGGTCACAGGAAAATTGTATTTGTTCACCATCCTTATAAACTGCCCTTTGTGCCAGTATACGTCCATGATCAATATGTTGTGGTTGGCAGGTTACTTCTACATTAAACACACACACACACACAAAACGGAATGTTCTCATTAGCATCTCATAGTAATTATTTGAAATATTTTTCTTAAATAAGTCAGAAGGTTTATTTAATATGGAAGTTTGCATTAAATTATTTCTGAATCTTCACCTTATAGTTTGTTCTTAAAACCCGAGGAAATCTACATGGGATCATAGTGAAGGAGAAAACCTTATTTTTATTTTATTCAATTTTAATTTATTTTATTGGAAATGGACCAGATTCAAACCCAGTAACATGAAGAACCCTCCATAATTTCCATTATTCTTTAAAATGTGGCAATCAGTAAATTCACAGATGTATTAAATAAGTGCTTCAACAGGCAAAATTTAATAGAAACAAGTGGAAACATTTTCAAACAATTCCCATAAAAGCATAAATCAATGTTCATACCACTTTTCAGGTCTCCTTGTTCTGCTAATCCCACTACTATTTGAGCTGCAGCTGTTTAAATGTATTGTTTTTAATTTGGAATTCTTTTGTTCTCACCCCACCCCACCCCTCCAGTTAACTAACCTACACATTTTGGTACGGGTGCACTCCAAGTTCCTTGAGCTGTACAAACTATCTCAGCAGAACCTTCAATTTTGAAGTGCTCAACACATTCAAATCGCAGCAGGTGGCCAAATAAAAAATCTTGATCCAGATCCATTATTCCAGTCTGAACGATCCTTCCATTTTCTGGTTCTTTCACAGGGAAACACTTTGTTACTGTAAAACAAGCAACATTGTTGTTTAAGGATTAGTAAGATATTTCATAAACATCAGCTGGAAAAGCAATTGAAAATAAGTTAGATCATTACTATAACGCTTGAATTCAGCAGAAATAATTATTTCCCGGTATATGTTTCCCCCACCAGAAGACATATTAGAAACCACACAGGACCAAACTAGAGAAGATAATGACAGATAAAACTGCCTGTATAATAAACAAGTTAATCCACGCAGATTGCTCAGTGAACATAACGTACAGAAGAGAAAGGACTGGTCACATACAAGACCATCTTTAAAACTAGGATGTTTTCTATTTCTACACTGGAATTTATTTGACATATTCAGGATGGGATTTTGATAAAGCTAGAATAAAAAGCCAGAATAAATATCACCCGCCTTTTTGAATTAAATGCCCCATCAGCACATCAAGATATGTCCTTCCAATAAGCAGTCCAATATTCACAATTCTTAGATTGCCATTAGTTAGAACCAGCCTGTGTAAGGTTTCTTTCTGTACTTTTGAAAAAACACAACCTACAAACAGTATTCAAGCCCACCACAAAAATACAACAAATGTTACGGTCAGCAAAGGACAGAAGGGACCCCCATACCACTGCAGGAGTATACCGAATACCTTGCAGTTGTGGCCAGTTATATATTGGAACCACAAAACTAAGCATTCACACTAGAATCAAAGAACATGAGAGACACTGCAGACTAAAACAACCAGAAAAATCGGCAGTAGCTGAACATGCCCTAAAACAAGCTGGACATGAAATTCTACTTCAAAATACTGAAATACTGGACAACACCAGCAATCATTACGTCAGACTGCACAGGCAAGCCATTGAAATCCACAAGCACCAGCAGAACTTCAACAAAAAAGGGGAAAGTTTGAAACCCAACAAAACTTGGCTCCCAGCTCTGAATAATACAGTGTGCAAAAGGTCAACGAACTCTACCCAGCCACAAGGACCAGGGATCACTACACACAAAAGACCAGGTAATGACACCCATCAATCACAGTGTCAGATAATCTCTCTTCCTTATCACAACAATAGACCCACAACAAGAAACACTAATCACCCATCTCCTGAAAGGATAAAAGCCTATCTCACAGCCAGAAATACTTCACACCCAAGCATACCACACCAGAGCACAGAGTGCTGTCCTCTGAGGATGCCGGCCACAAAGACTGGCGAAACGTTAGGAAGAACAACCTTCAGAACACGGCCAAAGAGCCTGAAAAATCCACAATAACCAATAATTTTTGTTACTTGTTTAAGACTAAAACAATATATAAATGTGAAATTGGACCTTCCTTTGTTTTAATGTTTACCGTCACTGTATGTTTTGTTGTTGTCTAGCATCAAACAAGCAGAGAATGACCTTGCTGACAAAGGTCCGCATAGTCAAAGCTATGGTTTTTGCAGTAGCAATGTATGGAAGTGAGAGCTGGACCATAAAGAAGGCTGAACAGCCGAAGAATTGCTGCTTTTGAATTGTGGTGCTGGAGGAGATTCTCAAGAGTCCCCTGGAGTGCAAGGAGAACAAACCTATCCATTCTAAAGGAAATCAACCCTGAGTGCTCACTGGAAGGACAGATCCTGAAGCTGAGGCTCCAATACTCTGGCCATCTCATGAGAAGAGAAGACTCCCTGGAAAAGTCCCTGATGTTGGGAAACTGTGAAGGTAAGACGAGAAGGGGATGACAGAGGATGAGATGGCTGGACAGTGTCATCAAAGCTACCAACATGAATTTGACTAAACTCTAGGAGGCACTGGAAGACAGAAGGGCCTGGCTTGCTCTGGTCCACGGTGTCACAAAGAGTCCAACACGACTTAACAACTAAACAACAACAAGCATCCAACAGGTTGATTCCCTCCTGCTGCCTAAAATGACCAGACTGTCTCTGGAGGGCAAAAACATCTGGAGCCAATATTCAGGCAGAACTGGAGTGGTGCAGCAGGGAGAGGAGAGGAAGAAAATATGTTATGAGGGCAGGCATCTATTACAGCATAGGTCGGAGAACAGGGGCAAATTACCCCAAATGGGGTAAAAGTGAAAATCCTGGGGTTTATGAGCAGAGTGCTACCCCCAACCTCCCACCCACCCTCACCCTCTGCACTCAAACCTCAAATTGTAAGCCATCTCTCCCTGTTACTTCCTTGGTTGCAGCAGGGCACTTGTAAATCCTCCATTCTTTTAGAGATCGGAGATAAGCCTCCTTGATTGGTTACAGCTGGGGATTAGTCCCGGGTAATCAATCAATCCAGGGCTTCTGAATGACTGCTTCCTCTGGAAATGACTGCAAACAAGCAGGAGGATGGAAAGGATCAAGGAGCAAGCAAGGGAAGGAGGCAAGAAAGGTGCGAGAAGAGACCAAGGACTTAATCAAGCTTATTTAAATGTACAAAATGTAGGGAGAAAATGGTGGGAGGGAGAAAATGGAGGGAGGGAGGGAAGGTGGATGTGTGTGTGTGTAAGAAAGCGAGCAAGAGAGAGAGACTGATTCAAAACTGTGAAAATGAACAGGCAAGCGAAAGAGAAACTTTGAATTAAGGCGGGCGGGAAAGGGTGGCTTTTTAAGGTGCTGTCTAGGTTTATCATTGCTTTCCTTCCAAGAAGCAGGC